TACACAAGTACATGATACTAAAATTTATAAATCTGTATCTCATGATCAGTTTTTTATTTCAACAAAAGGTGTTGCCATGGTTACGTAAAGTAGAAATTTCTTTAAAATTCTTTCAAAACACTCTCAGCTTACAATTTTTTGTCCAATTACAGCAAGACTTGGTATACAAGTACACTTACTAACATACATTATGCCAGATAATAAGAAACACCATGTGTCAGTTTTAAATATTTTTAATATTCCCAACAATCAAAATGAATTTGAATTACTATGTACTGGATTCCAAATCTCCATAAAAATCCTAACAAAGAGACACTCCAGCAATTGTTTTTACCGAGCCTCTTTCTTTAATCCTCATTAAAATATTTACAGCATTGAAGGAGAAACTTCAGGAGTATTGTATATTCGATCAGTGGTGTAAATCAAATGTGAATACTTAAAAACTCCAAGGAACTTTTTTAAAAAAAATTGAAATCACAAAATTTTACCAATTTTACCAAAAAGCAATAACATCAAAACGTACGACTTTTCAACACTTTATACAACCATTCCCCATAACAAATCAAAGTACAAGCTTTTTGACGTCATAGACAGTTGCCCTTTCAATAAAAATGATACTCCTTAATTTACTTACCTTGTCATTGCTAATTTGCAAAATTATTTTATATAAAAAAAACATTCTGATTGTACAAAGATGTACTCTGAAGTTGATATTAAAAAGATTCTTGAGTTTCTGATTGACAAAATCTATAGAGTTTTTGGAGATCAGGTCTTCCAACATGTTGGAATTGCTATGGGTACCAATTGCGCCCTGTTATTAGCAGACCTATTTTGTATTCATATGAATCAGAATCTATTCAAAAACTTCTACAAGAGAAGAATACACTTGATGTGGCCTTCAACTCGACATTTAGATATATAGACGACGTATTATCAATTAAAACCAGTTCCTTCCATTCATACATGTATGTAGACTCGATATATCCCAGTGAACTTGCAATAAAAACACCACAGAATCTGACAAATCTGTTTCATATTTAGATATTTTACTCGAAAAAGACTTTAATGGTTACCTAACAGCAAAACTTTATGACAAACGTTATGATTTCAACTTTTGTATCGTCAACTTTCCTTACTTAAGTAGCAATATACCCTTATCACCTGCATATGGGGTTTATGTCTTCCAGTTGATTCGATACGCAAGAGCATGCTCTCCTACCATCATTTTCAAAACGAGACAAGCTATTAACCAACAGGTTGATGAAACAAGAAAATCAGCAGTTTCGTTTGAAGTCGTCATTTCGCAAAGTTCTATGGTCGATACGATGACCTTGTCAGCAAATGCATTCTATCATTAGGTTAAATGCTGACTGACAATTTTTATACTAATTGTTAGGCCATTATTTATACACTGAAATTTGTGATGATTTTTCCGTTTATCCGATCATGACAAGGAGCACACTGCGGTTTTGACCGGTCGACAGGGGATGCTTAATCCTCCATGGCACCTGATCCCGCCTCTGGTTTTTTTGGAGGTCCGTGTTTGGTCTGCTCCCGATTTGTATTGTTTAAGTGGACTTCGAGCTTGAATACTGTTCGTTATCTCCATATTTCATACACCAAGTACAGCAGTAGTTGATTCTCGACAAAGAATTTTTGTATATTGTTCATATATCAATGGTGTATATATACAGTTTATAATGTGTTGAAACAGAAAAATTGCACTATCGACCAAAAGGTTTGATTTGGAAAGCACATATATATTGGATAAATAATTCGTAAATAAACAATTTTGTACAATTTCCTCTACAATCATCGTTCATATTTAAATTACGTTTATCAAATCAAACCTTGAATCGTTCTATACAATATTTATTTCACGTTAAAGCCACTGTACATTATGTACAGTGGACATCGATCATATATCAACAGAATGATGTCACAATGATTTTAGTGTAAACATAAAGAGGAATTAATATAACAGTTCCTGACCTTGCCGAAAAATTTATAATTTTTCGGCACCGACAGTTGCCGTCATACGACAGAAAATATCCAAAGATAAGAATGCAACGCTATATTTACAATCTCCAATTTCCTCCCTACATAAATGTAAATTCCATTCATCTTAATTATAAACTTAGCGCCTTTGAGAACTGGTGTGGTTAATAGACGTAAGACGTGCTATGACGTGAAAAGTTAAACAATTTTTTTTGTATGTTGTTTAACGTCCCTCTCGAGAATTTTTCACTCATATGGAGACGCCACCACTTGCCGGTGGAGAACTGCAAATTTTGTCCTATACTCGGCACTTACGGCCATTGAGCAGTGAGGGATCTTTTTCGTGCCAGCACCTACTGCGACACGGGATTCGAACCCGCGACGTAAGGATCAACTCCTTACATCGCGACTCTAGAGCAGACGCTCTAACCACTGCACCACACGGGCGACGAAAAGTTAAACAATGTTAAACAAATAAATATTTTGAGGTCTAGGAAAATTTTTCAAATTAATTCTAAGTGTAAAAATGTTATATTTTTACAATTTAATAAGGTACATGTATTTGTGTTCAGTTAAATTAAGTCAAGAACAATATACATTTTGGTGTTCCTAATGTATTAAAGGTGCTTAGACACAGATTTGAACTTAATATTTTCTCAAATTTTCTGTATAATATCACGACTTATATATTGCAATAGCATTTCACACGAAAATATAATTAAAAACTTATTTTATCTGGAAATTATTGGAACTACGAATTCCGGGACGCGTTTGATTAACACATCTTTGCACTTACAAAAATTTTAACTTGATCCTTAATATTTAAGAAAAGAAGCGATTTTGTTATGTATTAATGAAAAGAATTACATCTATAATCCAGAAAATTCATAGTAGAAATGTTCGAAAGCAAAACCAACTCACCTGTATTGTCAGTCCGTGTTCTGTGATGTGTACAGAGTTTAACAAATTGAACACACCCGTGAAACGTAAACTGTATTTGTAAACAGGGCACGAGCTCTGTTATTGTTAATGTTTACGATTCACCGGGTGTGTTCAATTGTTAAACTCTGCACACACCACTGAGCACGGACTTACAATATGTGAGTGGGTTTTGCTTTCGAACATTTCTACTCTGAATTTTCTGGGTTATAGTTTTAATATTTTTCATTAATACACAACAAATTGCCACTTTTCTTAAGTATTAAGAATAAAATTAAACAAGTGTTAGTGAAACACTACGCACCCCGCGGCAACAAAGTTCGAAAAAGCTTTTTTTAGTGTATAGGTCACAGACAAGGTCACAAGGTCATTGACCTTGGTGTCAATTGAAAGAACTGGAGTATGCATACCAAATGAAGTCTCTATCTCCTATGGTTCAAAAGTTACGGCGAAGGTTAAAGTTGACAACAGACAGACAAACAGACAGACAGGACAAAAACAATATGAGCCCCCGATCTATCAATCCGGGCGCATAAATATGTGAACGCGCAAGGATGTGTCAATCCAACGCGTCCAGAAATTTGAAGTTTTGATAACTTCGAGATGAAATAAGATTATTATATTTTAGTATGAAATGCTATAGCAACATATAAGTCATGAAATTATACAGAAAATTTGAGAAAATATTAACTTCAAATCTGTGTCCAAGCACCTTTAAAGATTTCCAATGGATGTGATAAAGAAAATTACATAAATATAAACATATGTATATAATATGAAAAGAATATCCAATGGTTTTTGGATGTATATGATTTTTATTCAACTCACTTTTTACAAAATCACAAAACAGAAACTACCGGTTGTTTCAAATTTCAATGGACAATGCAATACACATTCATTTTTTATTATTGAAAATAAATGATAGTTGAAATGCAATATATGTAGCTTAAAAATATATAATGAAATGGCAGTTTATTCTTTATTTAAATAAGAGAAAGATTACAAGAGAAAAGGAAATTAAAAATATGTGTTACAAAGCAGTAAAAATAAGTTAGAACAAGATAAATATGTACCATGTAAAGGAAAAAAATCGAAAAGCAACACCAAATTAAAGCTAAGACGATGAATAGCAAGCAAATGTTTAATTTAATGTTGGATACTCAGGTAATCTAGGCCTTGAAAAGAAGGCCTATCCTTGGAAGGTTTCTTTTGTTGGAAGTGCTTTTAATTTCTTTTTCTGTCTTTAACCTCTTTTAAAACATTCCTCTTTCTTTTCTCAGGCTTTTTGTTATTAACATTATTGACTTTTAGTATATCTGACACTGTCATGTTTCAGATTTTTTTTATCGTTCAAAAATTTAATTATTTTTAAACATGAAGATGCATTCAAATGTATTAACATTGAAAGCAGATTCTTTTGCAATATTTGAATCTTACTTTTTACATTATTTGTCTTTCAACATTTATATTATTTGAAGGACATGACTAGCTATTGGAAAAAAAATTGGAGTGGATCATAACATTTGCCGCCATTTACAATATCCTTAAATTTTGCATTTTTTCTTTTAACACAACACAAAGTCACTCTAAAACCTAAGAAGTTTCAACATCATTTACAGATGGTACAAAAGATATGATGTCAATCAATCATAAAGAGTTGGCCCCACAATATGAAAATAACTACATAAAATACAAGTCAAAAAATCTACAATCTTCTGTATATACTACCCATTCTTACTTCAGAAGGAAAAACATCTACAGAATTCCAGTAAGGTTGTGTAAAAAGTACATAAAGAATTCCAAAAGCGTGTAAAATACATGAAAAACTGCTATTTGCAAGAATTTCTAATGTATGTAAAATATATAAAATACTGCTATCTGCAAAAGCTAAACAAATGTGAGAATGAATAAAATTCAAATAACTCTTCGATTCTTTTATGTACACTAAAATATGTTAATGAACATAATATATATATATATATATATATATATATATATATATATATATATATATATATATATATATATATATATATATATAAGTATTAAATCTGTCCCTAAAATTCATAACTGGTTCCTTTTAAATTTATCTTCCAGATATGTTACAGAAAATATAGGGTCTCAAAATCCATCTTAGTAAAAAAAAATTGACACAGAATGCAACAAAACACAAGGTTGCATACTTTATTATTTGTATCAAATTTTATTTTTTAGCGAAGAAATTTCTTTCCGGCAAACATGTGAAAATTGCAAAAGGGAATGCATATAACATTTGAAAGAATTATAGCACAGTAATGATTTGAATTGCACATTTATACAATCTCTAAAATATTGTTCAACTTCTGCTCTGTAACATTTCTATCATCATAAAATTACCAAAATCTGTGGTTAAGTTCAGATCTTGGCTCTCTGAATTAGTTCACGTTTCATAAAAAAAATTCTTTTCCATAACTAACATGTTTCTGTTTTGTCATCTACCACCTCCCTTAACCCACTTGTGAAAGTTTTTTCCCTTAGTTTGTGGAAACCAACGCTTCATTATAATGCTTTCCTTTATTGACAAATGCATCCCTTTAAACTTTTTAATTATCTAAATCTTTTATTTCAGAACAAATATGAGTGCGACTTATAATGCCTAGCTCACTATTTAAAGCTTGAGACAACTCATAAAAGAATTTATCCTTGTCTGCCATAATTTTCTCTGCTACCATTTATTTCTCAAGCCCTTATAAAAGATTGATTTTTTTCACAGTTTGAAGTATTTTGATGTACAAGTTTAATCTGTTTGAATGTATCTTACATCACTGTTAATACTTGAAGGCAATGAAATTATCAAAATAGTGTATGTATTCATACCACATCAGGAGAAAAAGTTACATCAATCGCAGAGGACAATGCATTAAAACAAATGCAAATCCAGGTAATAAAAAAAATGAATTAAAATGTAATCACTAAGACAAGCAAGAAATAAGACACGTCAGGTATGAGTTACATTGCAATCAGGTGAAACGAATGCCAAGGGTTTATATAATAAACCTTTGTGCTGATACCAGAGAAAGGAAAACTTACATAACATAAGACTATTTTTGAGTCGTGTTCAGCTTTAACTTTGCAACAGTTGATGGATGTGGCAACTCCTCTACACAAACATCAACTAGACCTAATACTTCTTTAATAATGGGATTGATGTGCTGAACAGCAATATTTCTACTTCTAAATTCATATAAAATTTTTCTTAACTTAAAATCATATGGATTACCTCTACTTCCAGGGTTTCTCAAATTTATTGTTTTTCGATTTTCATTGTCCTGAAACATTTTATTTTGCAAAGTTGTCTTTAAAATTTCAATCTCTTTTTTAAGGTCATTTATATCTGATTTCATTGTGTTACATTGGGTACCAACAGAAGCAATATTTTTCTTTTGAAGTCTTTTAACTCTAAATGACACAGACGCTTTTAATTTTACACGAAGGCTGCTCATTGTGGTCTGTAACCTTTTAATTGTTTGTTGGTTTCTCTTTAGTTTCTGATTCAATACTTGTACTTTGATATCTTTTAACCTTTTCCTTACTTTTTCGTTTTCTTTTCGCAATTTCTCACATCCAGCACAAGAACCATGAGGTTCAGTCTTTTGTCTTTTGTTTCTTTGTTGCACTCTGTCAATTCCTTTTTGTTTCTGAGCGGGCAAAATAAATTCCGATTTTAATTTTTCAAGATACTTGTCCTTATTTGGAAACTTCCTAAGTCTTTTAATTTCATTTAAAGTTCGCCTTGCTTTGGTGTATAAGCTAGTAGGATTTACAAGTTCCTTTTCTATTTGAAGTATTTTACAAATTTCTTCATGAAATGCTACAGAATTACCTTGCACCTTTTTGAAAATATTCATCATGTCGGAATTACTAATCATATTAGTGAGTTTCGCAGTATAACTGTGTTCTTCCATATCTAAATGTTATACACATGTATTCTTCAATACAGTGAAAATCAAGTCATGCATTTATAACTTACTCTATTACATAATATGGGAAACTTGCACAAAACATGACAGTGACTGACAGTGGTGATGCACAAAATATTTTTTTCAAAAAGTAATTTGTGCAGACATCACAAAAACACCATGATGAGAGAGAGTACTTCTTTTGTGCAGTGAAGATATCGTACAGTAACTGTATGGATTCCCGGAATAATGTCTTCTCTACAAAAAAAGAGGGAAAATTAATATATGTACAATTAAAATATGTTACTTTTATCATTAAACATGATTGAAGCATATTACATTATTTGGTTAAAAAATTTTAAAATATTATTTAAAAATTGGAATATTATTACCATGATTGTTGTACTGTAATCATTATTATTAATATTCAATTTAATGATCATTACTATTGGTATTTATTTATAATTAAAAGAATACATCCTATGTATTGTATATCCATGTACATCGTAACATTATAGACACAAACTATAAACAGCTGATTGCAAAGGGAGGTAATTAAAACAAAATACCACTTTAATATTTTAAAAAATCACTGACAAAAATTGCTTCATTTATATAACTTGTAACTTTCCACATATATTTTGTACATATTCCCCCATCTATTAATTATTAATAGAACCTGCAAGAAACACACATACCTTTGCAAATAAATATTTTCTTCTGTTCTACGTTTCCAACAAGTGTTTTAATTTTTTTAATCATCTTAATTTAAAATTAATCAAGGTGTTTCGCTTCTGACACTATCAAACTGTCAGAAATTGTTCAGAATGTCCTTTTTAATCATATATAAACAGACCAGATTAGTTTTTTGTATATTACAATATCCCGAATGGAATAGGTCTATACGATCATGAGGATTGGAATAAAAAAATTTTATCCTTATTAACAATACCTAAACATCATTTGAGGATCTCTTCGTAAGAATAAAAGAATTTGCTTATTCAATACATACATACTTTACGTACTATTGAGAATATAAAATTGGTGTTGACAAATTAACATTAATTAAAGATTTTATACGGAAGAAGGGGGGGGGGGTGATGCTACAATCATTATATACACGTACATGCATGTTTAAAACAGATTATCATATGAATTAAGAAAAACAATGCTAGTTTTTTCACTGGTTTTTATTCAGATTGATTTTTTTTAAAATTAAACTAGAGCATATTAAAGTAGAAAGAAAAATACATAAAATGCAGTAGTTATTTTGTTATGTATAAGCTGTTTAATATTCTGGGAGATTGTGAAGGATGTCCAAAAATATTTAAAAATTCATTTTTCATATCTAAATTTATTAACATATGCCCTCTAATGTACAACTTCATTTGTTGTTGAACATTCCATTGTTAGTCTACATGTAGTTGTCAATTTCTTATATCATAAATAAATATGAATACATGCTGTTTGTTCACTGTCATTTTTTCCTATATCAATATGAGTCCAGATGTATACATTTTTTGCATACTGTCACGTACCTATATATATTTTTTAATTTGTTTAACTTGCATCTTTGTTCATTTAAAAAAATATTAATTGAATGTAATTGTGTATATAGATACCTTCCAGAAATATTTACGTTATTATTTTTGTTCAGATAAAAGGCAGGGCTAACAAACAGTATTGACGAATTTACAATCATAATTCAAAAGTCACAGTCTGAGAATGAATAAATATAAAGGATACAAAGCAATCACAATTACAACCACAATGGGGACTATCACATCAATAAATAGCAAACAGTGTCAAAGAGATAGCATACATATACCAGATACAAATGCAACCAAATATACTTGAAAGTCAGAATGTTTATATAATGGAAATTAAGTTACAAATGTATACTAAAAATGATAGTGTTGTTGAACCATTTGTTATGTTTTTACTGCTTCAACACAAAAAATTGAATTTGAAAAAAAAAAAAACTAATTGATGTGATCTTGATAAAATAAAGAATTAAAACATTATATATAACAATTCATTTTGTTACTTGGGAATATAACTGCTGCAAAAACTTTAACCTGTTTACTCATTTAAAAATTGTCAGTCATTGCGAACATATAACCATCAAGTACACTGTATGTTTGAAGAAAATCCACTCAGAGCGAACAGGGAATTAGGATGAAACCATTCAGCGCGCATACTATTACAAGTTTGAAATGCATACGACATACTTACCAATTCATATTCCCTGTCAATCGTGTCTTTACAATGCTGATTCCATAAAGAATGTATTTTGTAATAAACTGAAACAAACGATGAATTTGAAGCTTTTTACCAAACAGACATATTTTTTTCATGAAATGAACGTTATATTTACCACTGTTTACATAGTCATCTAAATCGCCATGGACAGAGTTGGTATAGAATGTATTGGTGTTAAAATGCACTGGCAGATTTAGAGGGGTAGCCCAGGGGGCCCGCCCCCCCCCCCCCATTGTGTCCAAAACATATACAAGATTTTATAAATCAATTTTTTTTGGTGTGGCCGTGGGCCCCTACCCCGACCCCAAACTGGTCGGGTCCCCCTTTTCAAGATTCCTGGATCCGCCACTGAGATGACATGTTTTACCTGTAGACTTCTTTGGACATTACAGTAAAACATACGTACTACATTTCCAGCTACATCTTTGAATAAAATTATCCCCTACTCAACATTTTGTCATTATGCCATGTATTAAAATTAGATGAAAAGAAAACTTGTAACAAAACCTTCACTCATTCTAACGTAAAATGAAAATGAATGAAAAGCTGCTATCATTAACTTCATTTTTTGAAGAAAAAAAAATCATAACGACCTTTGGGTGCCATAGCTTGAAAATCCAAGACATCATCTGGTCATGGTGATGTACAGATATTCATCGGTAATTTCTAGGATTTTAAACGCCAAACACCGTAAGTAAATAACATAAATTTTATACTATAATTTAATGATTTGATTTCACTCACTTAGACAATGGCACTTCCCAAGTAATGTCCTGCGTCCCGATATATCCAACAGTGTGGCGGTACCCCACTATCTCATCTGCCGATCTGGTTTACACGGACTTGTCTCCACAAATAAAATCAAAACATCCCCTGATTTAGAGTTATCGTTCTTTGGAATACAAGTCAATGCGCCCCCTAACAAAACCGTCCCGGTCAAAGCGCGCCATAGATTTGGTCAATGAGCCCCCTTATATAAAATTTTACAGAAAAATGTAGTTTAAAACTGTCCCATAATATTGATCAAAGCGACCCCTAATTTTGGGCAAAACGTCCCCCAAAATAATTTATAGAATATTTTCGTTTCGAAACCGTCCCTAGGCATTGGTCAAAGCTTAACATAATTTTAATCATTCACCCCTAGCCCATAAATAATTTCGAAGAAAATATTTTTTCTGCGTCGACATCCGGAATTTGATTGACGGGTAGAGCACGTATATTACGTGTTGAACTTAATCTGTTAATTATGCATAAATTGCACAAGTTGCATCTATTCCTGTTTATAAAATTTAGTTTTGATAAATAAAAAGCAAATTAGAACGGGAGTGCTTAAGGTGCGATCGCACCCCTCTTTAAAAAAAACAAAAAGATTGAAAATATCATTTTTAAACAAAATAAATTCAGTAATATGTTGAAAGTAATGCTTTAGAATTTGTTCAATTGATATTTGAAAGAATGACTTCAGAATGAATCAAAAACCTCCAAAAACGGTGCCCATTAAAAAAAAAATTCCTGCTCAGAGGAGAGGGAACCGGGTTTACCCCTATACGAGAAACATTTGTCAGAAAAATTTTAATTCACTTAAATGTGTGGTATGCATATCTAAATAGATTCTAAACCTTAACTACTCCAGCTTCGGAATTAAACTTAGCTAAGATTTGCACTTAGAATTTATATGAATATGACTTAAGAAAACCACCAAAATAAGACGCTACTATATTAGATCTGTCGTAGGGAATGCTATCCATCAGTGTCTCTTTGGTTTTCCCAAAAAAGAGAATGCTGAGTTGTTCTGGTTATAGGTACATGTAAAGAGACTTGAGACGTGTGTAAAGGTTAACGGAATACTTCGAAGGATTAGATCTATAAAGGAACTGCTTTTTGTGCTTTTCTTATCATTTGATGACTTTTTGCATTATTTATTGAACTACCCTCGTAATAACCTTAAAACCAAAAAGTACAAGCATTTATAAGTGTCATAACTATGGAACGCCGCAACTGCCTTATGTGGAGAATTTTCATTATATGCTGATATTTCCACATTATATGCTGATACTTTGTCATTATATGCTGATACTTCAACATTATATGCTGATACTTTGTCATTATATGCTGATACTTTGACATTATATGCTGATACTTTGTCATTATATGCTGATACTTCAACATTATATGCTGATATTTCAACATTATATGCTGATATTTCAACATTATATCCTGATACTTTGTCATTATATGCTGATACTTCAACATTATCTGCTGATATTTCAACATAATATGCTGATACTTTGTCATTATATGCTGATACTTTGACATTATATGCTGATATTTCCACATTATATGCTGATACTTTGTCATTATATGCTGATACTTCAACATTATCTGCTGATATTTCAACATAATATGCTGATAATTTGTCATTATATGCTGATACTTTGACATTATATGCTGATACTTCAACATTATATGCTGTTACTTCAACATTATATGCTGATACTTTGACATTATATGCTGATACTTTGACATTATATGCTGATTCTTTGACATTATATGCTGATACTTTAAATGTGATGATCGTTTGTGACACCGGAACTTCCGGTAAGCAAGGCAGGTGTTCTTAAATTCAACAAGTACGTGTACAAAATGTTGCATTTATTGGAAAAACTGGGTTTGCGGAATGTAAATGAACAGTTCGAGCGGGAAAAAATAACACCAGATATTGTGTGTCAGCTATCAATGCAAGATTTTGAAGCCTTGGGAATTTCAGATAGGGCTGAGATGATGAATCTTAGAATTGAGTGTGTGAAGTATGGTGGATCTAGACCGAACCAAATTCAGAGTAAGGTAGGGCCTCCCATGTATGATATTCCAAAATCAACTTTAGAGAATTTAATTGAAAATGATTTTAAGATAGCTGACATTGCAAAACTTTTAAGGGTGTCAGAAAGAACTGTTTATCGTCGAATGACAATATCTGGATTGAGTAAAATGCATTTTTCGGAAATAAATGAAGACGACCTTGAAAGAGAGATCGGAAATTTGATAAAGGATTTTCCTCTGTGTGGCGAAAATATGTTGAGACAAATGCTGCTTGCCAAAGGTATCCGAATTCAGCGATGGAGACTCAGAGACTGTATTCACCGAATTGATCAAACAGGTGTTCAGTCGAGAAGAACAGGTCGACTCCATAGGCGCGTATATAACGTAAAAGGGCCAAACCACCTCTGGCATATAGATACTAACCACAAGCTAGTTCGTTGGAGATTTATAGTAATCGGTGGCATTGATGGGTTTAGTAGGCTTGTGACATATCTTAGATGTACTGACAACAACTCATCTAGAACGGTGTTAGACTGTTTCTTGTCTGGTGTCGAAACCTATGGAATACCTATGAGAGTAAGGTCAGACAAAGGACTCGAAAACGTGTCAGTTGCAGACTACATGATTTTAAAACGAGGTGAAGGTAGCATGATCACTGGGAAGAGTACTCACAATCAAAGAATCGAGAGACTTTGGAGGGACGTTTTTGAAGGCGTTTTATGTTTCTTTTACAATTTATTTTATTTCATGGAAGAAAACGGTACTTTAGACGCCTTAAATATGAATCATTTAGCTGCATTGCACTACATTTACACAGATGAAATAAATAGAAGGCTTCAGTTCTGGACAAGAGCCTGGTCAACTCATAGAATTCGTACAGTTCTAGCTTCTCCGCTTCAGTTATGGATAAGTGGACAAATTCAAAATCCTGTAGGCATCCCCCTAAGCAGGACCGATTTACAAGATTATGGTGTGGAGGGTTACATTGATCACAACGATGTTGAATACGGCGACAGACCAGTATTTGAACCCGTTTCACGGTTTCTAAGTGAACAATGTAGAATTGCCTTAAATGATGAATTACATAGAAATAACAGAAATTTTGGAATTGAAGACTATGAAAAATGTTTAGAAATTATAAATAGATTCTAGGTATTCTTTTATTTATAAAGTTTAGAAAAAAAAACCTTTCTGGTCAATACAGTGTGGAATACTGAAAAAAAAGTAAATGAATTTATACCTACATGTAGATTGTTATTGAAATTAATCTGTGTTGCATGTGATCTCTCTAAACACGATTAATCCAGTAACTTTAATTGTAAAGCATACATATAGTATACATAATTATATTCAAGTGCAGATTCATGCTTCAATGTCAACAATAATAGCAGATGACCAAAGTAAAAATACAAGCTCAAGCTCCTCAGTCAAGAGGCCCATGGGCCACAATGCTCACCTGAGTCATCTTAGCTCCGCTGTTTTTTTGTTTTTTTTTTGTTTTGTTTTGTTTTGTTTTTTTTTTTTTTTGAATTTTTTCAGATTTTTTTTCTAATACAACGAAAAAATTTGAAACCCCGATTCTAGCCTCAGTGGGTCAAGGCTTTAAAAACATGAATTCACAATACATTCAGATTCTTCTAATTATACATATGCATTTTCTTGCAGTTCTGGAGAAAAAGGTTTTTTAACTTATGTCTGAACATTTATTAACCATTTTTAAATATTTCCCCTTACACGTAAATACCTTCATTAATTATAATAATTTCGATCCACAATATTCACCTAACTTTACTTTCCAGAATTTGATCTTAGTATTGAATATTTGCGTATCAATAGGATATGACCAAGTATCACCCTGCTACTCTCGAAGTGTTTTTAACCTCTATAAAATTTCCAGCTCCTTTCTAGCCCAAGGGTTTGATTTGGAGAAGTATGAATATGTCGTAAGTTTTCCTCTATGTATTCCAAAATACTTTTTAATCTTTTTATATGGTCAATCTTAATCCTAGGGACATTTTTGTCCCTATCCATCCCACACCTCTCACATTTTAAATGTTTCTTCTTTGGTCCCGCATAAAGCTTTGGCCCTCTATTGTGGTCCTAGCCTACCAGTTTGATCAACCTGAATCTGTACTTCCTGAGGATGTTGACAAACTAATGTAATCATGGTTCTGTTGTTGATAGATGAAGTTTTAAGGGACGTTTCTTAATAATATTCTTATGTAAAACTGATCCCCAATTGTGACCCCACTCTAAATCTGTGGGCCATGGATTGAACAAAGTTGTATCCACACTTTGTGAGGGCTTTCATGCAAATATAATCTTCTCTGGCCTTGTGATTATTGAGATTTTTATATGACCCCACTCTATAATTCGTTTTTTCTTGATCTTCTCTCCCCTTGGAAGAAGGCGTGGCTTTTTACTTGTACAAACTTGAACATTCTTCACTAAAAGATACTTTATGCCACATTTAATTGAAATTGGTTCTGGAGTATATGAAAAATTTACACGATCCCAATGGGCCACAGCACTCTAAGTCAAAATGGTCCTTTTCACCAACAGAGTTCTTTTATATATTCTTTATTCATCAACAGACGTTTTTTATAAATGTATTCTTTATGTCAAACTTTGATTATCCATTGTGGCCTCACCCTTCCCCCAGGGGTCATGATTTGAACAACCTTAAATCTAAACTACCTGAGGATGCTTTCATATCAATATGACTAATCATGGTTTTGCTATTCTTGTGAGCAAGATTTTGAACTACATATTCATATGAAAAAAAACTTTGATCCACCATTGTGGCCCCACTCCATCCCCGGGGGAAGTTGAACAAACTTGAATCTACACTACCTTAATTATGCTTTCCTGTCAATATGACTACTCATGGATTAGCTGTTTATGACAAGAAATTTTAAAAGATTTTTTTCCTACATATTCCCATGTTAAACTTTGATACCATATACTGTGGCCCCACACTGCTCCAGGGGATCATGACTTGAACAAATTTGAATCTACACTTCCAAATAAATATGACTAATTATGGCATTGTTGTTCTTGAGAAAATGTGAACTAAAGATTTTTTCCAATAAACTCCTATGTAAAACTGAACCCTCAATGTGGCCCCACCCTATCATGATTTGGGAAAAATGAATCTGTACTATGTTATAAGGGTTTCACTACTGTTTCAACTTTTCTGGCCCAGTGGTTCTAAAGAAGAAAATCTGTATAAGCTACCACCAAATTTTGACCAATTCTTCATTATCTCCCCTAGCAAGAGGGTGTGGCCCTTATTTGAACAAATTTGAATCCCCCTCAATCAAGAATGCTTTGTGCCAAGTTTGGTTGAAACTGGCCCAGAGGTTCTGGAGAAGTCAAAAAGTTTATGATGACAACTCTGACAGACAACAGACAAAGAAAGAGGGCGTACATGGCACGCACAATCCCCCACTCTGAGATAATATTTTTCTTAGTTTTCAAAGTTCATGAAAAAGTTATATTTTTCTAAAATTATGTTTTCAGTACTGGCATCTTCTGATCAACACATTTAATTCATTTACTTTATTGAATAACTTATTTGGTTGAAAATTTGTTTTTAAAGTTGCCAGTTATGCATATTTAGTGGAAAATGGGGTTATTTCAGCCATAAAAAATGATTTTTGAATATGAATGGGTCAAGTCTTCATTCTATATTAATGTTTAAATGACGGAAAAGTAAATGTAAAATATATTTTCTGTTTTAAAAAAAATGGAATCTGAACCCATTCTATTTGAAAATCGAAAAAAAATTTACACTTCAACAAACTTGTTGATTTAAATCACACTGACATACATTGTTGAGAACAAGACTTTGTGGCATAGTGGTTAGCACGTTCAGTCTTACGCCTATCCGTGAGCTTTGGAGAGAGTTCAATCCTGTGAGAGGGTTTTTTTTTAATCATACCTTAAAAACATAATGTAAAATATAAATATTTTATCAATAAGCTATTCAATAAAATAAAGGAAGCAAATGTGTAAAAGATTATATTGACAATACAATTTTTGAAAAATGTAACTCTTCATGAACCTTAAGAATTGAGAAATGTCTTTTTTCAGAGTGGGGGATTGTCCTCGCACAGCACGCCTCCATTCTTTCATTCAGAAAAACTCGCTTGAGCCTTCATCTCAGGTGAGCTAAAAAGGGTACGACAACAACAAAATCAACAATTTTGATCAAAATAAGCTCACTTGTTCCTTCAGCTCGAAAGTGCTACAAAAAGTAAAACTACATATAAATATTCCGTTAACAAATTTAATATCTCAAAACAACAAAGTGATTATTGCAATTGCTAATTTACTATGAAGGGAATGAAATTTATTCTTTTTTATCGAACTTTTCATTTCTAAACTGTGTGCTTAACAGACAAAAATGAATACAAGTATTAATGGTTTGTGCAGCTTTCAAAAAAAAATTTTGTAGTGATTCAAACAATTTCAGTTTTAATCTGCAGAGAAAAACAAAGAGGTGTTACAGGTAATCTAAAGATGACTTTTAAAAAATAACACACATTCACAGTTTATTTTAGATGGTGTCGGTTGAATTGATATTCTTTAAATTTGCTAAACCCTATTTTGGAATAAAGAACAGCTATACGTTTTTTACAAATATAACTTTCTGAATCTCTAACATTCTCAGAGAATTTAATGCGAATTGGTTTAATTCAACTTAATTTACTGAGCATCAAATTGCTTCATATTATCTTCAGTGAAGCTAATTTGAATTTATTTTAATGCTTTAATGCTTTTCACTCGTGTGGAAAATCTAGGTCAGATCCATCATCCAAAGCAGGTTGGTGTACTTTACTAGATGCATCATCCATGCAAGTTTGGTCCAGGTAGAGTTTAGTTACTTAGGAATGGACCTGCTCTAAAAACTGGTCACTCATCTAGAAAATCTAGGTCAGATCCAGCATCTAAAGTAAGTGTGGTAGTGTCCATCCCTTGATGTATCATCCATGCAAGTTTGGTCCAGGTAGGGCTTATAATTACTTGGGAATGGACCTGCTCCTAAAACTTAATCCGGGACACAGACGCTAACACTGGGGGTATAGCATAAGATCATCAAGACGAGGTGACCTAAAAATGTATCGTTCTGATTGATGTTACATTTAAAATATGTACAACCTAAAGGCATTTCTGAAGTAAAAATTCTCTTATTTTTATACTTAATTATAGAAAATCAAATTATAAGGAATAAATTTAATAGCTACCTAAGTTTGACTGAAAATGGCCCAGTGGTTCTTTAGAAAAAAAGTCAAAAATGTGAGGTTTACAGACAACAGGCAGACACCAGACATCCTTTTATCAGAAAAGCTTACTTGAGCTATTGGCTCTTGAGCCATAAAATTTAGGAAATGATAAGAATGAATTCATTAAAAGCATGTTCACTATAACTGAGTTTTACTGGATCTTGTAACTGAACAACAAATAAAAGAGCATTATGTAGTGGGCTAAAGCATTTAAAAAACAAGGCATGTCTTACCTGAAATAAATAATAAAAACAAACAAGAGGCCCAAGGGCCTTGAATCACTCTTCTGATAAACTGTACAACCTATCACTTCTTTTTGAAGCCTCTAAGTATCCTGTATATTTAGATAAACCCTTGAAATTCCAAAGGTAGGTCATCATGACCTACACTTTAGATGAAACTTTCTAAGAACCCAAGATGATTCTAAGCCAATTAGTTCCTGAGAGTTGGTCATGGTGACCTACTTTTCACTTGTCATTCTCTGAGGACCCAAGATGCATCAACTAAGTTTGATGATTCTAAGCCAATTATTACCTGAAATATTTTTAAAATTATAACCATAAAATTTCAAAAGTAGGTCACAGTGACCTTCTTTTCAGATGACATACTTTGAGGACCCAAGATGCATCAACTGACAAAGTTTGATGATTCTAAGCCAATTAATACCCGAAATATTTAATTATAGTCATATAAATTGAAAAGTACATGTAGGTCATGGTGACCTACTTTTCAGTCGACCTACTCCGAGGACCCAAGATACATCAACTGACAAACTTTGATGACCATAAGCCTTAAATTGTTCAAAATATGCCTCTAAATCATTTTGAAAAAAAATGGCTGCAAAATTTAAAAAGTAGGTCACCGTGACCTACTTTTGAGTCAACATGATATGACGTCCTTAGATGCATCAACTGACAAGATTTGATGATCCTAATCCTTATAGTAAGCAAAATATCAACATTTTAATAAAATGTAATTTTTGGTCAAATTTGAAGTGACCTTGAGACCCAGCCCTTTGCCCAGGGTAAATCCCCATGCAAATTTTAATCTACAACATATCCTCATCCTTTTGTGTAAGTTTGGTGATAATCTGCCCAGTGGTTCTTGAGAAGAAGATTTTTTAGCAACCAGTACTTTTATTTCATTTTCCTAATTATATCCCCTTGTTTAAGGGTCACAACCCTAGTTTTAGTATGAATGGGGGCCCTTGGGCCAAGGATACCTTGTGACAAATTTGACAATAATTGGCCAAGGGGTCCTTGAGTTAAGGCCCATATTCTAAAAAGTTTACGCACACAGCACAAATGGCCATAGCATTAGCTCTTTGAGCTTTGAGCTCAGAAGAGCTAAAAACCTATGGGCCTTAACGGTCACCAGAGTATCACAAGTTTTTCTGGCTATGAATTTTAGACATTTAAACCTTAGTAAAAGGCAATTCGGAAGGGGACGGAGAAAGATCATTGACGAAAACTTGATCTGGACTGTAAAAGATATAATTGAGAGTGACCTATGTAACATAATATTTCAGTAATATCAGCAGTTTTGGTTTAAAAAAAATAAAACATGCTGTATAGGGATCGGTATCGGCAAAGATTTTGTATCGTGATATATCACGATTTTCCCCCCAAAATATCACGATAAATCGTGATATTTTTACATGCAATTTTTACTACAATTTCAAATGAATTTCCATAATAGTTCTTAAAATATGCTATATAAAAACATAACTTTACTTTTTAAATTTTCATTTATATAATATAAAGCATATTTTGATGCCATTGTTTAACTGTTTTCAACATTTTTTACACTTCCTGGAATTGTTATTCAATAGTTTGAAGAAATAAATGAATAATTTCCGGAATTTATAGTTATGTACCAAATACCGGTATTTTAGTCTCTGTATCACGATACGTATCACGCAATAAAAAATCGCAATATACCGGTTTACCGATAAAATCGCGCATCCCTAATGCTGTACCAGTTTTATAATTTTTAAGCTAGACATGAAATACCTTTGACATCAAAGATTTTACTGGCTCTGACTTCATTGTATGTCCTTTTAAATAACCCAAATTGATATAAATTTACAACATTTTATGAAATTTTGATGACTATATTAGTAAAGATTCTTATAGATTTTGTATGATTGTTTGCTTGATTAAATTGTCAATATTTTTTCTGTGCAACGAGTCTGCATAATTTTTGAATGGCCCATGTACATGTATTACAAATTATATATATGCATCAAATTCTAAAGTATATGTGTAACAAAGAGATCTATAAAATGAATTGCAGAAACTAGAAATATCTCATAGGACATGAATGCCTCATCCAGGGCTCATTCGCAATGCACCATGAAAATTTGTATTAGTGTATGTATTTTGATGATAATACCTTGTATAATTTCTTAAAACTGAGTTTAATACACAATAAATAGTAAAGTCAAAGGTTGTTGGGAAGGTCAAGGTAAAAAAAAAAATGAACACAGTTGATAAATTCTCCCCAAAAAATGTAACAGTGCATAAGCGTCAAAGGTTATTGGGAAGATCAAGTTAAAAAAAAATTGGACACAGTTGACAAATTCTCACCAAATTAAGCTTACATAAAAAATAAGATGGTTACAACAAACACTATATGCTATGGCCACATTCATGGCAGGCATTAAAAAAAACAATTTCTCAACAATGTCTGCCAAACTTTTGGTGAATAGAACAGTTAATTAAACAAGACCATAGAATGTGTTTAAAAAGGCATAATCAAAGAGAGGAAAAAGTTCCTCATCTTTTGGCAAATTAATTTCTAAACTGCCTCTTGGCAACTTTAAACTATTGATGCAAGTGTTTGCAGTTGGAATGAAGCTGTGATCCTCACGCATTTTCACAAACTCTATTGAGGGTGGGTGGCAAAATCCGAGGATGGGTTCTTCTGATGCTCCTGTAACGAACTGAAGTACATGCTGCAGTGACACATCTCCCCTTCTTCCACCTATAAATGTCAAGATTTATTATACATTTGCATAATAAAGCCCATCTTTAATCTGAAAAAATACTATGTACTAGACAAGGTAGAAAAGAAAATTAATATACATGCATAATATCAACTATCATTAACTGTAAGCTAAGAAATTGAAATTGAAACTGCTAATCATTCTGTGTTCAGCTTCCTTTAACATCCTTTATTTTTGTAATCCAATACTACATTATTAGTATTATCAGAATAATACAGTCAACCTAATTTGTCTAAAGCATGTCCGTGCATGGAGATAATTTGTGATGTCTCCCTTACTTGAGTGTGACAACTGTGTTGTCTCCCTTTACTGGCTGACCCATAAAATGTAGTATAAACCCAGATGACTGATATAATTAATAATCATACATGCAGGTTGGTAAACAATGAATTCTAATGTGACATTTAAAGTTGTCTGTGAATTTTTTTTTTTTTAAATAATGAGTCAAGAGTAGTAGATGTAAGAAAACAAGAGGTTTGCCTGATATTTATTACTCTTTTTATTAAATTTTGATCTATATTGAACTCAATATCCCCTACCATTGAACGTTAAGAAACTCTACCAAATGATACTTGCTGGGACTAGATCTTGAAATATCCTTTCCTTACAACTGTCTAGTAATATATGGCTTTATAAAATAGTGATACAAAATTTTGGAAACATCTAACAGAGTACAAGAACTGAGTAAATTAACTTACTAGCTGCTGCTCGCAAGTATCTCAGAAATGCTGCATACACATAATTTTCATACTTTCTGTCATTTGAACCATCTTCAGAAAACTGTGGTTTTAGTAGCTGTGTAACAGCTTTCAATGTAAGACAAGTTTTGCTTGGTCTTAGGAGGTGTACGAACATAGTTAAAATGCTTCCAACCTATATGAAATAAAATGAAGAGAGTTTAGATAAGGCTAAGAAAAAATTACAAAGGAAAAATAATATAGACTAACGGTATTCTAACATGGTTTTTGTAAACATCACAGAGTGCTTCCAGTAATTGTTCCATCTAAATTATATATATATAGCTCCTCAGTCTGTGAATATACATGCAAAGAGATAATATGAATGTCTGTAATTGTTAAAGTTAAAACTGTTGTTTACGTTTTGACTGCATACATGCAATGTACCTATAAATATTCAATGTACATCATATTGCCAGATGTGAACTTGAAGTAGCAGTGTAGTTTAAGCCAAGGGGGAGACAGGGGCAGTCATGCAAATTAGGAGCAACTTATTTCAACTCTCTTAAGAAGCAAAGCAGTAATTATAGTTATCTCAAGTAGAACCAGCATTAGCATGAAAGCATAATTAATCTTTTTTTTTTTTTATGCATGTATATATATCTGCCCAATTTTACTGTAAAGAGCAAAGTACATGTGGACAGGAACCCCCCCCCCCCCCCCCCCCCCAGTATTCAACCTCGGGGCTTGTTGGACATTTCTCAAATTCTATTTATTACACTTATTTATCATGTATACCATAGGAAAAATCTTGAAAAAATGCAAAATAATTGTTCCATACAAAAAAATACAAAATACCTACTTTACATTATAAGAGAGAAAGGTATGTCACTCCAATTTGTTTGCATTGTATCCTGCTGTTCTTTCTGGGTAAAAAAAGTATTTATTTCAACCTAAAATGTCGGTTCACATTGTCTATACATAAGAATATTTCTGCCATAGTTTATGCTGTCAAAATGACTCTGAATCTCATAAGAATCCAACAATTAATCCTCAAACACAAACTAGGTCATCCTTGGAGTCCATGATTTATTGAATTTAAAAAAAAATATTTTAAGTTATAAATATGTTCATCATTTTATTTTGGAAATTTTTCCCAACAAATTGGGAAAAAATTGGGCCTATTTTTCATTGGGAGTGGGGCTGAATTTTGAACCAAGAAGGTACTAATAAATCCCTGCAAGTTTTCTTTAGAAGGTATCCTTCCCCTCTTGTGATCATTAGGGATGTAATGTAATGATATACTGGTATGTAACCCCATGCACAAAAATATAGTACAGTATTGTGGTACAAAAACTGTTTACCTGTATATCATGATAGATAACATTGCAATTTATACTTTTTTTTTTTTAACTTTTATGTAATCAAAGTGATTTCTTAATATACTTATGTTTTTTTGTGTTCAGAGACTATTAAACAGTACATAATTTTTTGTGAACTAAAGAAATCATCTTCAACTTTTATCCTTTCATATTTTACTGGAGAATTTCTCATATCAACACAGAAACACACAAATCAAAAATTATGAAGAATAAAACACTGCAATATATTCCAGGATTCAGCTCAGTGTATCAATATATACCACGATACACTTTAGCCATATCAATATACCCCCCCCCCCCCCCCCCCCCCCGGTAATCATTACCTTGATTAGTCCTAGAGAATCCAATCCAGTCCTTAAATTTTTTAAACACAGTGAGTTTGGATCTTTACTTGAAAAAAGGTCATTCAAAATATCCTCACTTAAAAATGTTGGCATTGGTCCATTCTGCAGCATACTTAGAGCTGAAAATTGGCAAAAATTATATAGTTTTTTAACACCTATTTTCATGATAACAATATTCTTTTTTGGTTTGATGTACTCTGACCCATTAGTTTCAATGTGGGTAGGTAGGTAGGTAGGTTTTTATTTTATTTTTGGAATGATAAATGTTATGAAAATCACAGATTTACATATTTATTTTTCCAAGATTCTTACCTGCACTTGAAATTCATTGATATAGTTTAGATGTATGTAAAATGCAGCAAATTTAAACAAAAAAGAAATTGGAACCTAAAGTTTAAGAGCATGTCAGACAATATGTATTTTCCAAGAAAAAAAAATAAAGTTAGTACATGTACTGAAAAAATTGATCATGTAGGGGCAATTTTGATGGATTGAACGGACTACATCAAACATATAATTTTTTATTGTTGATCTAAATGAAAATGTCTTGAAGGCATTACTATAAAAGCTCACAAAATCCAATTCTTATTCCATAATACAAAAATTTAGTAGTTCTTGGACAAATGGTATATCATCACATGTAGTATATCAAGGATGCTTGGGAACAAAAAGGAAACTATATATGTTATCTTTTATAATTATTGACTTTCCATTTCAAGACTTTAAGGAGCCAGAGTCCATGAAAATTCAACAGCCAAATTTATGCTTACGTGCTTTTATATATATATATAGCTACTGGGCACATACATGTATGGTTTTAAATTAATAGCTTTTGAGAATTCACAAAATGTTCCTGAAGTTAATCAAGTGACCTACATGCATTATGCATCACATTTTTTTTTACACCATAAAATCATTGTGTATTAAAGATAATCAATCTTAATTTTCAAAATAGTGTGTAAACTTACCCATAATTTTTCCAACTGTAATGTAATCCTTGGCCAAGTGTTCTCTTAAACCTTTATCAAAATATTTTTCTTTGATAGCACTCAGGACCAGACGGAAAAATTCTTTTCTTGGTCCTCCCTGATCTGAAGCACACTATGAATTAAGAAGAAATTAAACAAATTGCCTCTTAAGACTCACATTAGAATGATAACAAATCACATTATGCATGACATTTTGATTACAAATTTATTATTTTGATCGATTCTTAAGTTCTAAAAAATACATATTTAATTAGTCCCAAAGAGAACTTAAATTCATAAAGATTAAATCGGAATTACTAGAAATATACATGTACCTCATTATAGAAATTCACTTCCAGTGTTTTTCTCAAGTCCTCATCTTTTATGGCATTAATTTCATCAAGTGCTGTTTCTAAAACATTGGCACGATCAACTAGAATGAAAGTGGTATCTCCTTCATCAAGGGTTGCTAAATCTTCTAGTTCTAATTTTCGTCCAGTCACAATAACACTTTGCATATACCTCAGTATTTCCACAGGATCAACTATTTTTTCTGTTAAGCAATGATCAATAGCACTTGATATAACAATGTTCAACTCACTTACAGTTTCTTTATTTTCTTTATTATACATGATAGGAGTCACAGAAAAAGTTTCATTCTGTGTGAAATCTGCAGCTTCAGAACTACTGGTGGCACAGCTTGGTACAATTTCTAATTCACCTTCATGTACATAAACCAATTTATCTGTAGTTTCTCCATAGTCTTCCTTCTGATGATTAAATGAAGTTGCAGCAAAAGAAGGGAAACTAGGAGAGAAATGCATAGAATCATTCTTGTTATCATCCCCTTGCGTTTCACATGCTATATCAAAAGGGAAACTAGGAGAGAAATGCATAGAATCATGCAAATTTGAAAATGATGCAGGGACATTCTTGTTATCATCCCCTTGTCTTTTGCATGCTACATCTGTATCAGAAATTCCATCAGTCAGAGGATCTGGTAAACTGTCACTGTCACTCTCATTCTTCCAAACTTCTTTTAGTTTTGACTTGTCTTTGCATGTCTTAACATGTTGTCGAAGATCACGGATAGCGTAACTGTTTTTGCAAAACCGACAAATTTCTTCACTTTGAATTCTGACATTTTTATCAATAGATTCTGTACTTAAGTTTGTTTGCACTGGACGTATGTATAATTTTGTCTGACTTCCAAGATATGCCTTCAGTTGAGATACTGACCATTCGCAATCAATAAGAGAAAGTTCTCTGCAATTCTGTTTACATTTAAGCAATTCAAACCCACCACACTTATTGAGCTGTGGAAATCCAAAAGTTTGACCATCTTCAGTCAATTTGTCAGATGTTATTCTTTGTAGTACGTCAGCCTCTTTGTCAGATGATAAAAATTGTATCTTGCGAGTACCCAGGCCCGCTTTAAATAGAATGTCTTTCTCTGAGGATGATGGAACCTTTAACGCTTCCTTATCAGCTAAACAAACCACAGTTACTGTCCAAGTTCTTGCAACTTTTTGGTGCTTTGTGAAACCATGATTATGCAGATCTGAAAAGTGATCATGAATAAATGATGTAAGCAACTTCCACAAAGTAAAATATATAATTGGAAAGCTGACAAATGTTTCAAGTGATTGAACAGACTTGAATCTGCATTGCTTATGGAAGTTAACATAACATGACTAATCATGGCCCCTACTGTTTAAAAAGATTATTTATTCCCATTATTGTGAAGTGTTATCCTCTTCCTAGGGACCACAATTTGAAGAATTTAAAAATCAAGACTATGGCAGAAAACTTTCACATAAGTTAATTTTTCTAGCTTGGTGCTTATCAAGAAGAACACTTATATGCTGAATAATTTGAACAACCTAAGTCCTTTATCCAGGATGTTCTGCTAAATTTAATTGAAATTGGCCCATTTCTAGAAAATAAGAGGCCCATTGGCACAGAAATAACAATCATTACATGTATTCCTATCTAAAATTTTGATTGCCTTTTGTGGCCTGTTCCTACCTAGGATCTATGATTTTTAACAAAATTTAATCTACACTGCTAGAGGATGCTTCCAATTTAATATGACTAATCAGAGCTTTGTACTTCTTGAGAAAATATTTTTAACATTTTCCCCTATAACTTCCAACATAAACAAGAGGCCCATGGGCCACAATGCTCATCTGGTTAACTTTGGCCCTGCTGTTCTTCACCAGATTTTAACCCTTGTAATACCTTTTGTGGTCCCTGACCTGACCCCGGGGATCATGATTTGAACAATTTAGAATCTACACTACCTCAAAAAGCTTCCAGTTGCAGCTTTTCTGGCCCAGTGATTCTTCAGAAGATTTTTAAAGATTTTTCCTGTATATTTCAATCTAAATCTTGAATTCCCTAATATGGCCCCACCCTACCCTGGGGGTCATTATTTCAACAATTTAGAATCTACACTACCCCCAGAATGCTTCCATTTAAGTTTCAGCTTTTCTGGTCTTGAAAAGATTTTTTTAATTTTAATGACCCCACCCTATTTTTGTCTTTTTTGATTTCTCCCCTTGTAAGGGGGCTAGGCCCTTCATTTTAAAAATTTTAACTCTCCTTCACCCAAGGTTGTACCAATTTGGTTAAAATGGCCCAGTGGTTCTTGAGAAGAAGTTGAAAATGTGAAAAGTTTACAGATGGACGTGCGACAGACAACGGGTGATCAGAAAAGGTCACTTGAGCTTTCAGCTCAGGTGAACTAAAAATATTAAAACTGAAAGTTTTTTTTTCACTTAATCAAGGTACTTTGTTGTTTGAAATCGAATGAATAACCCGTAAAATATGAATGAGTTTTCAGCATGAATATTTCTGAATAGAACCATAATGATCAGACGTGAAAATAATGGATTTCTTTCTCCTTTCGATCTCTCAAACCCCTCTATACATAGTGAGTCCCAAATTTCTTGATACAGTCACACTGATGATGAATACAACAAAATTTTGGCCAAAAGATGATAAGCAGATTACTTCCTAAATTAACAATTTTGCATAGTACAAAACAAAGAAAAACAGGAGACCAACACCTTGAGATTAAAATTGTGGAAGATTCTCACGTGTGGATACCGAAAGGTATTCAATAGGGTCTGTACCTAAAGTTGTAAACTGGAAGATATAAAACAGATCACCAACACTTCGTGAGAATGCAGAAGTGAATTTATTTTGTTCACCAGTTTTGACCAGAGACGGTCATCATCAGAACAATCAAGCATGTAGATTTATCTATTGAAGTAAAAAATGCCGATGGCGTTGCTATAAACAAAATAAAATGCGGACTGTTTTGTACATATGCGGATCTGCTTAACAACGGTATTTTATACAAGATGTAATTAGTTTATACGTTGTCTCTAAGGCTTTTTCTGACTTAAGATTTAGTAACTAAGTAAATTAAACAATTGTTTTTTGTGATTAATAAAATAGTCCATAAATTCTGTGGATCGTTATTCTTCTGTTTTGTCATCCTTGTGGCAGTTCAGGCTGTTTCAGTATACACGTGTGACGTCACAATGTAAAAAATATGGGAGGTTTGTACATATAGATTGCTTCAAAATTATACAAGAGGAAATTAGGTTACATTTCCTATGAAATTTGGGAAAACATAAAATATAGTATGGTTTCATTAAATTCTACTTCTGTAAGTCCTACTTTGCGAAGAATAATTGTTCCCCTAAATTACATTAAATTCAAATGATAACATGTAGTAGCCATACACTTTTATATATAGTATTCCCTTTAACTGAAATAGTACAATATTATGGTTGAAATGAGCAATGTCATTTACAAATTGTTATACTACCCATTGGCATATCTTTTCTTTATTATTGTAATAATTTCATACTTGTCTGTTATGGGCTCTAAATTAGAAAATAAATGTTCTGTTCTGTTCATTGTGGTACAAGAAAAGATAATTCCTAAGGAATGCTCAAAAGTTCAAAATAGTTTTCTGGTGAAATTTTGCATAGTAATGAATACAAAATTGTTAATTTACGAAGTAATCATTTTTTGGGCAAAATTTTATTGTATTCATCATCAGTGTGACTGTATCAAGAAATTTTGTACTCACCATGTTGCGCCGTTCAGCCATTTGGCCACAAAATGCAAGTAATGCAAAAAGTAGGTAAAAATAGCTACTTTGGGTAGGTTTAAATACCTGGGTATCTATTAACAGCTATGTAGTTAGAAATAGTCTTTGGACCACAGGTGCTTGTCAAGTTGAAGACAGGACCCCCCCCCCCGATATAGACCCCCGGGCCTGTTCGACTTTTTTCTTATAAATTATATATTGATGACCCATATGTGATAAAATCTCTGTATCATCAATTCGGAAAATTGACTTAAACAAACATTTTATAAAAGTTACTACCCTACCCTATATATATATATATATATATATATATATATATATATATATATATATATATATATATATGTACATATATAAATCGATTTATATATAGAGAGAGTGGGGTAGATTTTATAAAATATTTGTTTTAGGTAATTTTTCGAATTGTTGGTATAGATTATATCACAAATATGTCATTTAAAGATAATTTTGAGAAAAAAAGTCGTAAAGGCCCGGGGGTCTATATCGGGGGCGGGGGAGGGGGGGTCCTGTCCTCAAGCACCTGTGCTTTGGACTGGACATGTTCATGTGTTTATTACTATAAAACATTGCTAATTTACGTACCTGGTTTGGCTGGTTCATTGATCCGTCTTTTTGACCTTTTAGTCGTAAAAAGTAAGTTTCTCTGGTGATTTAACATAGATGCTACAGAACTTGCCCCTGAATTAAGCAGAGTTACTGAACATCTCTCGGTTTTGCATTTGACCATTTCTCGGAGACGAATTCGATCGCCAATAGTTGTAATTCCAAAACTGTTCAATTGTTCATCGCTCAAGCTTAAAATATTATCAACATCTATTCTCTCTTCTACAAATCTATCGATCACCTGTGGGCCGATCTTTAGTTCCTCGAGGATGCTTTTCAATGTGATCCTTTTACATGCGTTTTCACAATTTTGCGCCATTTTTATTCCTTGAACTGTTAAATAATTAACGGTATCACGATCCCGATGTTTGACCTATTTTAAAGCACCATATAGTGAAGTATCATCATATAATGTTAAAGTATCATCATATAATGTTGAAGTAACAGCATATAATGTTAAAGTATCAGCATATAATGACAAAGTATCAGCATATAATGACAAAGTATCAGCATATAATGTTGAAATATCAGCATATAATGTTGAAGTAACAGCATATAATGTTGAAGTATCAGCATATAATGACAAGGTATCAGCATATAATGTTGAAATATCAGCATATAATATTGAAGTAACAGCATATAATGTTGAAGTATCAGCATATAATGACAAAGTATCAGCATATAATGTTGAAGTATCAGCATATAATGACAAAGTATCAGCATATAATGTTGAAGTATCAGCATATAATGACAAAGTATCAGCATATAATGTGGAAATATCAGCATATAATGAAAATTCTCCACATAAGGCAGTTGCGGCGTTCCATACATAACAGTATATTATTTCGCGTTCGTTTCAAAACATGGCCAAAGTAAGAATAATTCCTAAATCTCCCCTGCCAATTTGGGCACTTCTGCACTAGTTTAAGACTGTTTTTCTTTATGGCATGAAAAATTATGTGCAAACTTTTTGATTTTATTTCAGATTCATTAAATTTGTGCATGATAATTTTTTTTGTATGCAGTATTTAAGGGAAATTATAGGCCATTTTTTTGATTTTTAAGCACCTGCTCGACTTCAACCAATTCAAAATAAACTCGCCTGCTTGCTGGATGGCTAGTTTTTTGGTACTAATATATATATATATATATATATATATATATATATATATATATATATATATATATATATATATATATATATATATATATATATATATATATATAGAATTGCTTTACACTGCCTGAAAAGGAATACTCTAAAAAGTGTTTTGAGTGAATACTGCCTACTCAAAGTTGTGCATTTCTAGTAAGAATACATAGTAAAAGTTAATACTGTAGTGACACTGAAAATGTTTCTAAAAGACATTTCAGTAAAATTATAGATGTATCGCATTGCCTCTATATCTAGTTATTTTAAGGTTTTATTTACGTGTTCAAGTAATTGATAGCTTTCACACAAGCAAAAACCACTTAAGATTTTTTAATGATATAATTATATAACAGCTTCTTCTCCCTTTTCCTGCCATACCAAAGATCTAGCAAAGATTACCTGTAAAAAAAAATACATTATTGTTCAGTTAAGTAATGATTATTATCTCGAAATACATAAAATGCAAAACAATTAATTTTCAAATCACAAAAGATCAAAGATTTTTATGTCAAATGAATCACCATACCAGACAATTCACAAATAAACCCAATCTTAGCATCACAACTTAGATTATTCCATTGTCCTTTTTTGTGACTAGGATAGTTCATCTGTCCACAATCCTCACTAGCATAATCTGGTTGTCCTGGTATCCAGTTTGTGTAGGAAACGGATTTTCCTGTTGAAAACCACCTCCAGTTCCCTTCGACAGATAGGTCATTTAAATCTAACCATAATTTTTCTGGGGAAAAATGTAGATGAATGATAATGTAGTTACAATTAATATCTTGACTAAGAGTTTCATGGGATGTTACAGAAAAATCTACAGACAAGAATCTACTTAAGCTACAAATATGTTGCTCTAAAGCTATACAAAGAACTCGGATACCTTTAATTTTGTTTATTTATATTCCATGCTTATTTTCGTCCTGGCTATTTTATGAATAAAACAGTTGAAGTGTATGTATAAATAGATTTATAGTCTTGTCTGTAATACTCGAACCTCCGTATTTTCTTTTTAAAAACATTAATACCTGACTTATAAAGAAAATATTTCTGCCATATTTTAAGTCAAAATAAGTGATTAAAAAAATAAACCTTTTGAGAACGTTTTTTTAACCACTCATTTTCTTCTTTTCTCTCTATTCCTGCTAGGTTAGCCTTCTGTAATCTGCAAAACATCTTAGAAATCCAAATGTTCATCAGATTATTAATCATAACACACTTTCAATTAATTTGACCCAAAGTATAGGGATAAAAGTTAAATAATTCTTACCTGTGCACCAAACCAGTCCAGTTTCTGAGCGAACTCTTTGTAACAATGCTCTCTAAATCGCCTCCACCCATTCGGACATTTTCCTGACAATTAGTTCGTTCGCTTAATGTCTTTAAATACTGTGGTAAAGTGCATATTCAGAGTGCAATATATTAATTATATACATATGGCTGATTACCTGTCTACAGATTCTTTATGTTTCAGTTAAATGCAACAATGATTGAAGATAAAGTAAATTGATATTATTTTTGTACATGTAAACTGAAAAGGCTACGTTTATTTTTTTTCATATTGACTAAAATTGTACGTTAAAAAGTCTGGACTGAATGTTTTTCCCATTAGAAAAAAGTGAACAATAATAGTTACCTTTGTTCCTATGTTCTTCCGTCAGTATTTTGACGCTGCTATGAATTTGACGCAATGTCGAAAGCATTTGCCCATCGCACGAGTTACTTTTGCTCGATTCACATCCGTTAAATGTACATCCGCGGCTGGAACATTCAGTCTCAAATACAGCGGACTACAAAAGCAAACACACTTGTACTTCAATTTTTGGGGACAACTTATTGTGTATGACTTTGAAACCTGATCACTATCATCTTCTGGCTAAATCTATGGTGAGAAAATCGGAGGAAAAATGACGTGATGAATATAGTATAACTTAGCTGATTATTGAATTGATTAAAAATTGCCTCAGTATGATGAAATAGTTTCTTTTAACTGAAAGTACTAGCTGGAGAATTTTCTGCACAGTATATATATATATAATATATATATATATATATATATATATATATATATATATATATATATATATATATATATATATATATATATATATATATATATATCTGACCTGATATATTGACGGTGCGACCGTTAGGGCGAGCGCAGATACCTTTCAGTTTTCATTACTTAGATCGGGATCGTCAAACCGCACGTGGCATTTGCTACTTTGCTACGTCTAGACTCTGACGTCATATGACGTCGTATGTTGCATTAGCCTACCAAAACGAAGTGTGAACAGTGCTTATTATTTAAATCAAGAACGTTTCTTCTACTATTTGTCTGCTATATATCCATTAAGTCAAAGTGATTATATATTTTGTTGAATTTTATTGCTACCGCGAGAACGTAGTTTGCGACGAGATGCAATTCGCTAAGCATTATGGGACCACAGGTAACTGCGGAAAAAAATGTGCAAAGTCCGAATTTTCTCTTCGCCCAGGCGTTGCTTTAAGAGCTCCTGCGCGCCGCTCGCTGCGCTCGCTATTATGTCATATTTATAAGGGGTTTGTATATCTTCAAAGTTTCTCCTAATTGAAAATTGTAAATAATGCATCGAAGCAGGGTAAGTCAGAGATACTCTTGGTGTCGTAATCTACGTAAGAATGCATGGTCTCTTTGAGCAAAGTTATGCTTTGAAAAATCTATTACTGTAATAATGTTGTGTAGGTATTTGACAGCAGAAACAAACCTCTCTCCAATGTAATCATTTCTTTTACAATGTTTTAATTCGTTTTTCTTAGTGTTGTTGAACACCAGATTTTAAAGCTACCTACCTCTAACAGGTACCAGATTTCAAAGTTACCTACCTCTAACAAGTACCAGATTTCAAAGCAACCTACCTCTAACAGGTACCAGATTACAGGACCACCTACCTCTAACAGTTACCAGATTTCTAAGCTACCTACCTCTAACAGGTACCAGATTTCAAAGCTACCTACCTCTAACAGGTACCAGATTACAGGACCACCTACCTCTAACAGGTACCAGATTTTAAAGCTACCTACCTCTAACAGGTACCAGATTTCAAAGTTACCTACCTATAACAAGTAACAGATTTCAAAGCAACCTACCTCTAACAGGTACCAGATTACAGGACCACCTACCTCTAACAGTTACCAGATTTCTAAGCTACCTACCTCTAACAGGTACCAGATTTCAAAGATACCTACCTCTAACAGGTACCAGATTTCAAAGCTACCTACCTCTAACAGGTACCAGATTACAGGACCACCTACCTCTAACAGGTACCAGATTTTAAAGCTACCTACCTCCAACAGGTACCAGATTTTAAAGCTTCCTACCTCTAACAGGTACCAGATTACAGGACCACCAACCTCCAAAAAGTACCAGATTTTAAAGCTACCTACCTCTAACAGGTACCAGATTTCAAAGTTACCTACCTCTAACAGGTACCAGATTTCAAAGCTACCTACCTCTAACAGGTACCAGATTACAGGACCACCTACCTCTAACAGGTACCAGATTTCTAAGCTACCTACCTCTAACAGGTACTAGATTTCAAAGCTACCTACCTCTAATAGGTACGAGATTTCAAAGCTATCTACCTCTAACAGGTACCAGATTTCAAAGCTTCCTACCTTTAACAGGTACCAGATTACAGGACAACCTACCTCTAACAGGTACCAGATTGCAAAACTATCTTGTTCTATTACTACGGCTACTAATCTTTATTATGCACCAGATAATGAATCTACCTACCTCTAACATCAGATTACCAAGCTTTTTACTTCACTAAGTAAATACTAAGAGGTACCACATTATAAAGCTACTCACCTCTAACAGGCAACGGGTTATAAAACTACCTATCAGCATGACGTACCAGATTATGAAGTTTCCTACCTGTAAGAGGTACCAGATTACGAATCTAAATACTTCTAGCAAATACCACATTCAGAAACTGCCTACCTCTTACAGGTACCAAAATATGAAACTTCCTTACTTACTGTAAGGGGAACAGTATTATAAAATTTCCTATCTGCATGATGTACCAGATTATGAAGCTACCTACCTGTCAGAAGTTCCAAAATATGAAGTAACTTACTTCTGACAGGCACCATATTATGAAGCTACATGTACCTACCTGTAACAGGCACTAAATTATGAAGCTACCTACCTGTTAGAGGTACCGGATTATGAAGTTACCTACCTCTAACAGGTACCAGATTATAAATCTACCTACCTGTAAGGAGTACCAGATGATGAATCCACCTTCCTGTAACATATATCAGATTGTGAAGGTGCCAACCTCTAGCAAGTTTCAGATTTTGAAGCTATCCAACCTGAATTAGGTACCGTGTTTTTAATTATAAATAGTCGCCTGCGTGGCGCAGTGGTAAGAGCGTCTGCCCTAGAGTCGCGGAGTAAGGAGTTGACCCTTACGTCGCGGGTTCGAATCCCACTGTGGGACGTAGAGACCGGTTCTTCAGATCATGATACCATATAAACCGAGGTCCCCTGTCGCAGTAGGTGCTGGCACGAAAGAAAGAGATCCCTCACTGCTCAATGGCCCTGAGTGCCGAGAATAGGTCAAAACTTGTAGCTCTCCACCGGAAGGTGGTGGCGTCTCCATATGAGGTACAAATTCTCGAAAGGGACGTTAAACAACAAAACAAACACATTAAAAATAACGTATCTTTATTAGGTATAAGATTATTAAACTACTACCTCGAACAGGTAAAAGATTTTGAAACTTTCTGCTTTTGATTAATAGCTTCATCTCTTTTCTCAAGTTATATATTATGCAAACAATTACACATACATAAAACAAATAATGAGCCTTAGTCTTGCTACAATACATGAAAAATTAAATGTCATGGTTGTAAAGTTCATATGGTCGTTTTGTACATATCGTCAGTGACAATATGCACGTATCCTCATTGCACATAGTGTCGTCAATCGACAGATATTGTTGTCGGCTGAAAAAATGATACATGTATATATATATATATATGTATATTATATATATGTATTTTTTGAAGACATAATGAGCTTTCCCTTCTCGTACATGTTGTCGCGTCACAGCTAGGGTTGCTTAATGTTTTTGTAGTTGTCGTGTAAATCACACAAGCATATCTGTCAAATCCTATTTTATGCAGCGCGATTGTCAGGGTACATATTGTCGTCCTGTTCATATTGTCGCCGGCGACACAAACTACTTGTACTAATGTGACGAGTGCAAATAACATGATATTATAAAAACTCATCAAAAAAGACCATGCAGGAATCTCTCTCTCTCTCTCTCTCTCTCTCTCTCTCTCTCTCTCTCTGAAACTTCAATCCAATACCCGCTTTCTGTCAAAAAAGAACTTTCATCACTTTCGTCTCACTGATAAATAAAAATTGTCGACCCCAAACATCAATAACTTCAGTATATGTATAAGAATAAAGCAAAAAATAATTTCCGGATAAACATTACTATTGAACAAAAACTTTATTTCAATTTCCAAGTATATATTACAAGAAAAAAAAGAATAGGCTGGTTTATCAGATATCAAATATCTCAAGAATTACAGTATCTTGACATATCATAGTGATGTACATAGTGTACACCAATCCTGGACCTAATTTTTTCTGAACAAAACATTTTCTCCCTGCTGTATTGCAAGTTATGAAAATTGTTTACTTATTTAACTGGCGTACACTTTGTCTGTCCTTCTGTCTGTATGTCTGTGTGTGTTTGTGTGTGTTTATCTATCTCTCTCTCTCTCACACTCTCTCTCTCTTCAAAACCTTAGTAAATATTCTTCAACACAATATATCGGCCACAAAATGTGCAAATGAACACAGCTAGTACATATTGTCGCCGACGACAATATGTGCCGATGCGCGACTGTACATTTTGTCGTCTATTATGCAGGATGAAAAAAAGGCTCGGTACATATTGTCGCCTCAGTGTGTACCGATTGTCGACAATATGTCCAGTGAGGGTAGGTACATGTTGTCACCGACGACATTATGTACAGAATGACAATATGACATTGTGACGTCACTAGGCACGTAGCAACAGGAAGGGGCAGAGGGGGCCTTGCCCCCACTTTTTTCCGAGCATAACGTTTTACTATTGAAATGTTCATATAAAGGCCGGTGCCTCCCCCCCCCCCACTTTTTGTTGTAGTAAAGTCAATTAAGAGTAATGTAGTAGTGTATGAATAAAATTTGGTACTGAAAGAACCTTACCCCTCCCCCCTCCGCAATAGGATTTTCGAGTTTTGTGAATTTCCCTTTTTTTTGTCAAGCTTTTTCATGTTGGTTGAATTTTTTT